CCCTCCGCGGCCACCGTCCCGGGGGGCGGGTGTGCGTCTCTCTATGCGTGTCTGTCTGTGCGTGTCTGTCTTTGTGTGTGTCTCTCTGTCTGTCTCTGTGCCTCTGTTTGTGCCTCTGTCAGTGTGTGTGTGTGTCTCTCTTTTTCTGTGTGTGTCTCTCTTTTTCTGTGTGTGTCTCTGTCTGTGTCTCTCTGTGTGTGTGTGTCTCTCTGTGCCTGTCTGCGTGTGTCTGTCTCTGTGCGTGTCTCTCTGTGTCTCTGTCTCTGTGTGTCTCTGTCTGTCTCTGTGCGTGTCTGTGTCTGTGTCTCTGTCTGTGTGTTTCTCTGTCTGTCTCTGTGTCTGTGTGTGCCTCTGTCTGTCTCTTGAGTGTGTCTGTGTGCCTGTGTGTGTGCCTCTGTGTGTGTGTGCCTCTGTCTGTGCCTGTGTGTGTCTCTGTGTGTCTGTCTGTGCCTGTGTGTGTCTCTGTCTCTGTATGTGTCTCTGTGTGTGTGTCTGTCTGTGCGTGTCTGTCCTGTGTGTCTCTGTGTGTCTGTGTGTCTGTCTATATGTGTCTCTCTGTGCGTGTCTCTGTGTCTGTGCGTGTCTGTGTCTATGTGTCTGTCTCTGTGCCTGTGTGTGCCTCTGTCTCTTGAGTGTGCCTGTCTGTGTGTGTGTCTGTGTGTCTCTGTCTGTGTGTGTGTCTATGCGTGTCTGTCTGTGCCTCTGTGTGTGTCTCTGCCTCTGTGTGTCTCTGTGTGTCTGTCTTTGTGTCTCTGTGTGTGTGTCTCTGTGTCTGTGTGTGCCTCTGTCTGTCTCTTGAGTGTGTCTGTCTTTGTGTGTCTCTGTGTGTCTGTCTGTGCCTGTGTGTGTGTCTCTGTGTCTCTGTGTGTGTGTGTCTCTCTCTGTCTGTCTCTGTGTGTGCATTCCTGTGTGTCTCTCTTTGTCTGTCTCTTGAGTGTGTCTGTGTGTCTGTCTGTGCCTGTGTGTGCCTCTGTCTGTCTGCGTGTCTCTCTGTCTGTGTGTCTGTGTGTGTGTCTTCCCGGGGGGTGTTCCGCCACTCCTGGTGGGTTGGGCCGGCGATGGGGATAGAAGTGGAGACGAGCCCTCGGTGGGAGCAGGGGGGTTTATGTGTAAGGGGGGTTGGGGGTGGGGAGGGGTCCCGTAGCGGTGGGGGGGTCCCGGTGGGGGGGCTCAGAAGGCCGGGTTGCCGAAGCCGAGCCGCTGCTGGGTGGCCTGGATCTCCCGCAGCAAGGCATCGTTCCTCAGGCCCAGCTGCAGGGGAGAGCGGGGAGGGGGGGTCAGGCAAGGCCAAGGGCACCCCAACACACACCCCCACCCCCGAGTAGGGGCTGCCCCCCACCGACCCCCCCCCTACGGGAACAGAAATGGGCATTTCCGTGCTCTGCCGGTACCAGCACAGAGCTGGGGGGCAGCAGGAGGGCAGGAGCCGAGGGCAAGGGCTTGGAAAGGTGTCCCCTGGGCAGGGACACCTCCCACCACACCAGGTTGCTCCAAGCCCCCTCCAACCTGCCCTTGAACCCCTCCAGGGATGGGGCAGCCACAGCTGCTCGGGGCAACCTGGGCCAGGCTCTCACCACCCTCACACCAAACAAGTTCTTCCCCACATCTCAGCTCAATCTCCTTATTTTTTGGTTTAAAACCCTTCCCCCTCATCCTATGGCTCCAGTCCCCAGATACCATCCCTGGAGGGATCTAAAAGCTGAGGGACATGGGTCAGCGGTGGGTTGGTCAGTGGTGGGTTGATGGTTAGACTCAATGACCTTTGAGGTCTCTTCCAACCCAGGGAAGTGGTGGTATCACCACAGAACCACAGAACGTTTTGGGTTGGAAGGGACCTTAAAGCCCATCCAGTTCCATCCCTTCTAGCAGCTGGGACATCTTCAGTGAGACCAGGTTCCCCAAAGCCCCCTCCAACCTGCCCTTGAACCCCTCCAGGGATGGGGCAGCCACAGCTTCTCAGGGCAACCTGGGCCTGGGTCACACCACCCTCAGCATCAAAAACTGCTTCCCAACATCTAACCTAAATCTCAGGGTTTCCAGCGGGAAGCCCTGACCCACGCCTTCACACCTGCTGTCTTCTCTGCTACGTCCTCTAATCAAACCCGCAGGTTAAAAGGGAAAGTGATTGGTGGTTGTGGGGACACCCTGGGCTGGTGCCCACCCCACAGTGGTGCCCACCCCACGGCGCTGCGGGGACACCAACCTTGAGGGTGTATTTGTAGCACTGCTCTGCCTCCCGCTGCCGTCCTCCCTGGGGAAAGGGGAGCAGAGCAGGCGGTGAGGAAACCAGAGCTCATAGGGGAGCCCAGCAGGAAGGAATGTGCCCCAGGGGACCACAAGCAGCGAAGAAGGGGGCTGCTTTTGCCCTCCCAGCACAGTCCCCAAACTATTTTTACTGCTGAGATAGAATCATAGAATGGTTAGAGTTTGAAAGGACCTTAGAGATCACCAAGTTCCAACCCCCCTGCCCTGGGCAGGGACACCTCCCACCACACCACGTTGCTCCAAGCCCCCTCCAACCTGCCCTTGAACCCCTCCAGGGATGGGGCAGCCACAGCTTCTCGGGCCAACCTGGGCCAGGCTCTCACCACCCTCACAGTAAATAATTTCTTCCTAATATCTAATCTAAACCTCCCCTCTTCCAATTTAAAACCGTTACCCCTTGTCCTGTCACTGCACTTCCTGACAAAGAGTCCCTCCCCAGCTCTCCTGGCCAACCTGGGCCAGGCTCTCACCACCCTCACACCAAACAAGTTCTTCCCCACAGCTCAGCTCCATCTCCCCTCTTGCAGGGTCAAACCCTTCCCCCTCCTCCTAGGGCTCCCCTCCCTCATCCAGAGTCCCTCCCCAGCTTTCCTGGAGCCCCTTGAGGGACTGGCAGGGGCTCTAAGGTCTCCCTGGAGCCTTCTCTTCTCCAGGCTGAGCCCCCCCAGCTCTCTCAGCCCGTCCTCCCAGCAGAGGTGCTTCATCCCTCTGATCATCTTCATGGCCCTCTGCTGGACCCTTTCCAACAGGTCCATGTCCTTCCTGTGCTGAGGACTCCAAAGCTGGACACAGAGCTCCAGGTGGGGTCTCACCAGCGCAGAGCAGAGGGGTAGAATCCCCCCCTCACCCTGCTGGGCACGCTTCTCTTGACGCAGCCCAGGATGGGGTTGGCTTTCTGGGCTGCCAGTGCACACTACTGGCTCATGTGGAGCTTCTCATCCACCAACACCCCAAGTCCTTCTCCTCAGGAGATCTACAAGATGTTTTTCAGGCTCAAAACCAGAGGCTGGTAAAGCTCTGGTGGGGGGTGGGACTATGGGGCTGGGCACTCACGTGCAGGCAGATGAGGGCGAGATATCCCCACACCTCAGCGTTGGTGTTGTTCAGGGTGTTGGCTTCGGAGAGAGCATCCTCTGCTTCCACCATCTCCTCCAGCTTGAGAGAGAGGAGGAGAGGTGTGAAGAAAAGGCAAACAGCGGTCAGGAAGGGCTGCAGAACCTGAGGGGCATCTGCTCTAGGACAGGAAGAAATCAGCATCTGGCAGGGTTTCCCCAAGAGGGGGGCAGGGAAAGGATTTAGGGTCAAGACAACCAGTGATCCTCCATGGGAGCCTCCAGTGCTCCAGTATGGAGCACAAACCTCTCCCTGCTGGCTCCCGACCCACCCTGGGAGCACAGAAATCAGCCCCCAGCTGTAAGGAAAGCAGCAGGGACACAGTGAGCTCCACCTCCAGGACCTGGGTGGTCCAGATCCATGGGGAAACACAACTCCTGATCCCTATTCCCACTGCGTGGCGACCCCCAGGAGGCAGGGGTGGCTGATGGGGCCACCTCCCGGGCCACCACTCACCTCCACAACCTCCCAGAAGATGTACATTTGGCCAAGGGAGAAACAGAAGCTGAAGTTCCTTCCCCGTTTGCATGCCTCAGCCAACCTCCCTTGGAGGAACCTGGTGAGCTGTACCCCTGGGAGGTACCTCGCTGCTGGTGGCCGGGTGTCCTTGGCAGCCCTTCAAGAGGCTGAGATTCCCTTTGGGCAGGGAAAGCACACCTGGGTGGTCCAGATCCATGGGGAAACACAACTCCTGATCCCTATTCCCACTGCGTGGCGACCCCCAGGAGGCAGGGGTGGCTGATGGGGCCACCTCCCGGGCCACCACTCACCTCCACAACCTCCCAGAAGATGTACATTTGGCCAAGGGAGAAACAGAAGCTGAAGTTCCTTCCCCGTTTGCATGCCTCAGCCAACCTCCCTTGGAGGAACCTGGTGAGCTGTACCCCTGGGAGGTACCTCGCTGCTGGTGGCCGGGTGTCCTTGGCAGCCCTTCAAGAGGCTGAGATTCCCTTTGGGCAGGGAAAGCACCGAGATTATCATAGAATCATAGAATGGTTTGGGTTGGAAGGGACCTCAAAGATCATCGAGTTCCAACCCCCCTGCCCTGGGCAGGGACACCTCCCACCAGAGCAGGTTGCTCAAAGCCCCATCCAGCCTGGCCTTGAACACTTCCAGGGATGGGGCAGCCACAACTTCCCTGGGCAACCTGTTCCAGTGTCTCACCACCCTCAGAGTAAAAAATTTCTTCCTGAGATCTAATTTGAATCTTTTTTCTTCCAATTTAAAACCGTTTCCCCTTGTCCTATCATTACCCTTCCTGGCAAATTTTCAATTTCTTCCTCTCCTCTAACATCCCGCTCAATTCCTGCGCGGTGACAAGGCAGGTCACGTGCGGGCAGGCACTCAGAGCAAAGCCCAGACCCAGATCATGGGCTTGTTGTGACATTCTGAGGTGGGAGGTGCTGGCAGTGGGACAAGAGGGGACAGATTGCTGCTCCTGAGGGTGACAGTCCTCTGACAGGGTGCCATGCTGGGACTGTGATGGCAGCTCGGCCGAAAGCATGGGTTCCACGGGCAACTAAAGGGGATTATGGAAAAGCGAGCCCTGCATCCCCAGAGCCAATTAAAGCACAGGGAACTTCAAGGTAATTATGGCACTTACCCTGTAGCAGGCGATGCCCACCCCCAGCCAGGTGAGACAGGACGCAGAGTTCTCGCAGGCGAGCAGGTAGGTCTGCTTGGCCTGGCCAAACTGCCCAGAGAGAGACCACTCTCTGCATCAAACACATCCCTCCACAGAGAGCACCCCCCTCCTCAGCACTTTGCCAAACACCCCATCTCCTGTGGGGCACAGACACCCACTGTCCCCACCACTGCTGGGGAGATCCTGCCCACTGCCCCCAGTACAGTCACAGAATCACAGAATGGTTTGGGTTGGAAGGGACCTCAAAGCCCACCCAGTGCCACCCCCTGCCCTGGGCAGGGACACCTCCCACCACACCACGTTGCTCCAAGCCCCCTCCAATCTGCCCTTGAACCCCTCCAGGGATGGGGCAGCCACAGCTTCTCGGGCCAACCTGGGCCAGGCTCTCACCACCCTCACACCAAACAAGTTCTTCCCCACAGCTCAGCTCCATCTCCCCTCTTGCAGGCTCAAACCCTTCCCCCTCCTCCTAGGGCTCCCCTCCCTCATCCAGAGTCCCTCCCCAGCTTTCCTGGAGCCCCTTGAGGGCCTGGAAGGGGCTCCAAGGTCTCTCTGGAGCCTTCTCTTCTCCAGGCTGAACCCCCCCAACTCTCTCAGCCTGTCCTCCAGCCCTCCCAGCATCTCCGGGGCCTCCTCTGGCCCCACTCCAACAGCTCTGTGTCCTTCTGATGTTGGTGGCCCCAGAGCTGGAGGCAGCGCTGCAGGGGGAGAAATGGGTGGGTCGTGTAGAAGACCCCTCATTGCCAGGATGAGAATGGCTCACCAGCCCCCTGAGACCTTGCCCAAAGGAACAGGGCATGTCCATGCTCCAAGGAGTTGAGTGCTCCAAGGAGTTGTGTACTCCAAGGTTTGCTGTGTTGTGAGATCTCAGCTACAGCTGCAAATAACGGCACCTTGTGCCTGGGGTCTGGAACACACTACTTTGTGTAAAATCCCCTTCCTCCACTCCTGCTGGCTCCTCACCTCCTCCTCTTCCAGGTAGATGGAGCCCAGGCGCAGGTAGACGAAGTGCATATCCTCAGCGTCCTCCACAAAGCCGACGGTTCGCTCATAGCACTTCTTTGCCTCCCCAAAGTCCCTCTGCAGGTAGCACAGGTGGCCCTTCTGAGCCCAGACATTGGGATTCTGTGCAGAGAAAGCCAGGAGTGAGACGTGGCTGGGAGATGGGAAGGACAGAGACCTGGGAGAGGGGCAGGGACCCCTGTAATTAGCAGAAAGGAAGAGCCGAGCGGTCTTTGATTATAGCAGGACAGATTTTACGTACAGAGTTAAAATCAAGTCAGTGGGCTCCCTGTGTGACACCACAGCACTGGGAGCCCCCTCCAGCCTTCCCTTGCCTGGTGTCCTGGCCAGTGCAAGCTTCCCCAGGTATCATGAGTACCGGGAGAGGTCAGTCCTCTCTGCCTTCTATTCAACCTGCCTCTCCAAAGCCGCCTCCCTCCTCTCTCTCTGCTGAATAGCAGCCTTGTTTCTCACCAAACAGAGCCTGACTCACCAACAGAGGGAAAGAGGATCAGGATATACATGTTCAAAGGGAAAAGAAAGGCAGACGTTGTGGAGAGAGGAGCCCTCGCTCAATGCTGCCTGTCTGTGCAGGAGATGACAGACGGCAAGCAGTAAGCGGGGTAATGAGGAGGGCAGTGCTGCAGCCACAGCCTGAGGTGGTTCATCAGAATCACAGAATTACAGAATCTTCTAGGTTGGAAGGGACCTTAAAGATCATCTTGTCCAACCGTCAACCTCACTGACAAAAATAGACACCCACACAACAAACAAGGAGCATCATCACTAAACCAGACCTCCCAGCACTACATCAACCCGGCTTTTGAACACCTCCAGGGATGGAGCCTCAACCACCTCCCTGGGCAGCCCATTCCAAGGGCTGAGAACCCTTTCAGGGAAAAAATTTTTCCTAATATCCAGCCTGAACCTCCCCTGGCGCAACTTGAGGCCATTTCCTCTCGTCCTGTCGCCTGTGACTTGAGAGAAGAGACCGCCCCCCATCTCTCTACACCCTCCTTTCAGGGAGTTGGAGAGAGCAAGAAGGTCTCCCCTCAGCCTCCTCTTCTCCAGGCTGAACCCCCCCAGCTCCCTCAGCCTCTCCTCATAAGACTTATTCTCCAGACCCCTCCCCAGCTTTGTCGCCCTTCTCTGGACCTGCTCCAGCCCCTCAATGTCTTTTTTATGGTAGGGGGCCCAAAACTGGACACAGTAATCAGCTGTGATTATCCTCCCCTGCAGAAATTGCTGCAGACTAGCACTGGAATTGCTCAAGTGGAAAGGAAGCACTAGGTTCACAAGCAGCAAAAACACAAGGCAGGGTTGGCCGTGGCGTTTGGCCGGTGTCCTGCTTGGGGACACCCTGCTGCACCCAGGGAACACCCAGAGAATTACCATGGGGTCGATCCTGACGGCCTCACAGAGACTTTCTTGGCATTTGGAGAAATCTTCCTTCAGCAAACAAGCCCGGGCCAGGGCCAGGTGGTACTCACAGGAGGGACCTCCCTGAAGGCTCAGCAGCTCGTGGGCAAGCGCCATGTGGACAAACTGGGGAGGAACAGCACAGTGAGGTGAGGGGAGCAGGAAACCCACAGGCACCCCAGAAGGACACGGCAGGAGGACTCACTCACACCTAATTCAGTGCCATGGACAGAAAACAGACAGGAGACTTCCCCGCCCCCCTCCTTTGAACATCTACCTCCATTAATTCCAGTTCTGTTTTGCTTGAACTGCCACGTGAAATGAAGGCAGCCAGCATAATGTGGCAGTCAGAGAGATCCCACAGGGACGACTGTGTGGGACAGGGACGTTGCACAGCTGACACAAAAATTACTCTGACAGACAAGTGCCTGAAAGAAGGAAGGGGTGCTGGCATCTCAGAAGCATCACAATAATGCATCTGGTCTCCAAATGTACAGAGAAGAACACACCTGCACCACTTTTGACTCGGCTGTTCCCTCCTTAGCAAGTGGAGCTGAGATGGGACAGCCTGAGAACATTCACCTGCCTGAGACAACAGTGTCCCCAACCAGCATTTTGGTCTCAATTCTCCACCCAGTTTGGCATTTCTGGGCAGTGGTGGTTTCGCTCCCTCTTGCACATGGCAGCTGGGGCAGCCACAGCTTGTTCTCTGAGACCAAGAAGGGGGCTGGCTGGAACTTGCCACTTGCTCTTTGGTAATAGCCACAGGAAGGAGACCAAACCTCCCTTCCCACTCCCTTCCCACTCCAAGCTGACCTGGATGGCATTGAATTTCATCAGGAATTCCACCGTCTTCATGAAGACTGTGCAGGGAGGTTGGCCATGTCCCGAAACAGGGGATGGTGCTGCAAGAAAACGTGTTTCCATCAGTCCCAAAACCTGGGCTGTTTATTTCTGAAGCAAGAGCAGGGCTCTGAGACCTGAGACCCTGCTGGGGACAGAGGAACCCCAGCAACACGGTGTTGAACCCGGGAGGTGGCAGAGGAGGCTGAAGCAAAGATCAACCCAGCAGTTGTTTCTGAAGGGCTTAAGTTTTTGTAAGAGATGAGAAAAGAAACGATGCGCTTGACTCACTAGTTTTCCAGTCCAAACTTGGAGGAAGAAAAGGTAGGAATTTAGGACTGAAGCTTGTCAGAGTTAACTACAGTGAGGCCTCTGCCTCCCCAAACCAACCCAGGGGGGCTTGGAGCACCCAGCACTGCCGTCTCTTTGCCACCCATTGGAGAGTGGACCTGTAGAGAAGACAGATCACACAACACGGGACCAGAGGAGGTCCATAGGGACAGTTTAAGAGCTGGCATCTTAGGAGGAAAACATCCGAGCAGCTGATGAAGGCCACTGGGTGCAGTGACATGTCCCAGGAGGGCTGGCTGTCCCTCCTGAGGTGTGCTGCTCTGAAAATGAGGATGAACCCACTTCGCTGAAGATTCCCCAGCTACAGAGAGAGAACAAGCCTCGATGCCCAGCCCATCAGAATGGCCATGGCTCAGTGCTCCCAACTGACTGCCCTCCCCATGAGGCCATCTCCCAGCTCCGGGTTCTCCCTTTCATGCCAGGTCCCCATCCCTGTACCTTTTGGGGTTCGCCGTCTCTTTGCCACCCATTGGAGAGTGGACCTGTAGAGAAGACAGATCACACAACACGGGACCAGAGGAGGTCCATAGGGACAGTTTAAGAGCTGGCATCTTAGGAGGAAAACATCCGAGCAGCTGATGAAGGCCACTGGGTGCAGTGACATGTCCCAGGAGGGCTGGCTGTCCCTCCTGAGGTGTGCTGCTCTGAAAATGAGGATGAACCCACTTCGCTGAAGATTCCCCAGCTACAGAGAGAGAACAAGCCTCGATGCCCAGCCCATCAGAATGGCCATGGCTCAGTGCTCCCAACTGACTGCCCTCCCCATGAGGCCATCTCCCAGCTCCGGGTTCTCCCTTTCATGCCAGGTCCCCATCCCTGTACCTTTTGGGGTTCCCTCCTCTTCCTTGGGTGCCACGAAGGTCAGGGCAGGCTCCACCGCCTCTGGCACCTGCTCAGCTGAACCATCTGGAACAAAACCCCCAACAACCATTAGGGCCAAACAAAAGGTTTGCCATAAACTGCCCAGTTTGGAGCATGACTCTGCAGAAATGGAGAAAATATAAACCGAACGAAAAATTCTACCAGATTTTCAGAACTGGGAAGAAATTTCTTTGCAGGAGGCAATGCCTAGGTCTGGGGTTTTGAGTGCAAGATGACCACGTGAAGCTAAAAACAGGTATAAATGAGGTAATATCCCTTCCCTCATCATCAGAAGGGACAAAAAAAAAAAAAAAGGCACATGACACTAGGGCTGCCTGAGGCACTTCACACGGAGTGGTGATAAGGTTAAAAATAAAGCCAGCCAGCATTTCCCGCAACCTGGCCAAATATTTGGGACTCGGGACAGAAAGTCTTGGCTCAGGGTGAAGCTGGATGCAGTTTGGCTCCAAAGGAAGCCTCCAGTTCAGGGTCACGAGCGAGCAGCTGGTTTGCATTGGGAAGTGGCAGCAACAGCTTTCACGAGAGCTAAACCTGGGTGACCCTAACGTAGGGCTGTCACAGAATCACAGAATCTTAGTGGTTGGAAGGGACCTCTGAGATCATCGAGTCCAACCACAAAAAAACCAACCAACCAACCAACCAACCAACCAAACAAACAAACAAAAAACCAAACCCAAAACCACCACACCACACCAAACGCCCACCAAAAACACCGCACCCACCAACTAAACCCCACACTCAACACCTCACCATAAACCAATAACCTTGGGCACTAGAGCATGCCCTGAAGAGCCATGTCTACACGTTTCTCAAATCCCTCCAGGGATGGTGACTCCACCACCTCCCTGGGCAGGCTGTTCCAGGGCCTGACCACCCTCTCAGGAAAGTAATTCTTTCTAATATCTAATCTAAACCTCCCCTGCCCCAACTTCAGACCATTTCCTCTGGTCTTGTCGTTTGTCCTTTGGGAGACGAGGCCAACCCCCACCTCTCTACACCCTCCTTTCAGGGAGCTGTAGAGGGCAATGAGGTCTCCCCTCAGCCTCCTCTTCTCCAAACTCAACATGCCCAGTCAACACCCCCAGCTCCTTTTCTGCTGGGCCACTTTCCAGCCACTCTGCCCCAAGTCTGTAGCATTGCCTGGGGTTGTTGTGACCAAAATGCAGGACCCGGCACTTGGCCTTATTAAACCTCATCCCGTTGTCCTTGGCCCATTGATCCAGTCTGTCCAGGTCCCTCTGTAGAGCCTTCCGACCCTCAAGCAGATCAACCACTCCCACAGGGGCAGCTCTGCCCTCCCAAAGCCTCAAAAAGCATGTTTGCTTCCTCCAGCCACCCTGGCCACTGCCCACACATCTGTATGTCAGCATCACTGGGCTGGAGCAGGAAAATAAACACTAAGACAGGTCCCTCTCTAGGCTGAGGGTAAGGCAAGGCATTGACTGTGCTGCTTTCAGAAAGCTCTGTCATTTAAAGCAGCACACTTGCTGCTGTTGTCTCTCACCACTGTAGTTTGTGGTCAGTCTATTCTAACTCCCAGTCCACATCTTCTTCCTTTACCCTTTGTATTTCTCCTCATACAAATACTCCTAGAGATGTCTCCAGTCCTTCCACTGTTCAGCACCTCCCACACTGCTCCGAGCCCCTAGGACATCTCCTGGTTTTGTCCCGTGTTACCTGGCAAGGACTCATCTGGGCCAGGGCTTTGAGACCTCACAGGTGTAGCAGAAGTTTGCTTTTTCTCTCCTTCTCCCTCAGCAGCCTGAGAGATGCTCCTCTCCTTGGTGAGCTGTGCTTGCAGTAGTTTCTTAGCCTCACGGAAAGCCATTTCTGCCTGCGTATGATTATTCTGCAGCTCATAAAATAAACCTAGGGGAGACAGAAAGAGCAGCATGAGCAAACATCCATCCCTTAGCAAAATCCTTCCCTTCACCCTCAGATTAGAGCAAGGAGAAGAAGGACAGGGGCAGAAGCAGTGCTGGGCTCTACAGGAAGGCCCTGAGCACACAGGCTGGCTTGCTTTGGTACCTGAAATCGTCCAGGCTACGATGCTGGATGGCTCCAAGCAGCAGGCACTCTCAAAGAAAATCTCTGCCTCTTCGTAGTGCTGCAGCATGACAGCCACAACCCCCGAGAGCAGCAAGCTGGGGACAGGGTGGGAGAGGTTGGCCTGGTAGGACAGTCCCCACCCTCCCACCCACCAGGAACACGCAGCACCTTTGGATGTGATGGAGGTCCAGAGCAAGAGCCTGCCGGAAGCACTCCTGGGCTTTGGTTGTTTCCTCCAGCAGGAGGTGGAATGCCCCATAGTCCAGCCAGTGCTGGATGTTCTGCTGGTCCTGACTTAACCTCTAGACAAAAGAGGTCACCATTGGAGTGAGGACGGCTGCAGTCACACTCAGCACACACAACGGGCTGGGGAGACAACTGGAATGACCACAGCTTTCCTCCAGTTTAGCAACAATCAAACCCTTGTCTGTCACATGCTAGGATTTCCCTTAACTGGGATATGCTGGGCTTCCTCTAAGCCTGGTTCACCTAACGCATGTCCTCCAGCTTCAGCTGGCCTCCGTCTAGCCTCCTGTTAGAAGGCCCAGTGTCCCCAGCGCTGACCCAGCACATCTTTTGGACCACCTCATCCCATTTCCCCTGGCCTGGAGGCTGAAGTCCTCAGTGACCCAGCCAGGCTCTGCCTCACGTCCTCCAGAGAGCAGCACCTCCCCAGAAAAATCCCTCAGAGATTCAGCCTGAGTATCCCAGTCACGTTCACCTCCTTCCTCTTCTGCACAGGACAGTCAGGGATGGCCGAGCTGTCAGCAACACGGGCCCCACGCCGCCGCCGCGGCCGTGACACCGTGCTGGCTGCCAGCCCAGACACAGGGGAGACAGGCAGGAAAGAACAGGGGCTCCTTTACCTGCTGGTGGTAGGTGGATGCCAGCTCATAATCCTTGTTGACTTCAGCTTCGCGAGCAAAGAGCCAGAGCTGCTCAGCGGTCATGCGGAACACGGGGACAGGGAAAGCAGTTTCCTCAAAGAGAAGCTGGGAGGGAGGGAGACAGAGTGTTAGCCCTGGAAATGGTTCCTGTGATCCCAGTACAGCAGCAGTCCCCAGCCCAGCACTGCCGACAGGTAAAAACATCCCCTAGATCAAGATGGTATCAAAATTCCTCTGTGGTGTCACTTACTGGTGACCCCAGCTCATGCTCTGCCCAGGTGGGTGGCAGATGGCACAGACCCCACCACCCTCACCACGAACCACCTACAGCAGCTTTTAGGGGTGGAGTCTCACACATATACCCCACCATCAGGATTTTGTAGCATAGATGGAAAAGTCCCACTGCCTTCACAGTGTCGAGCCCTGGATCCACAAGGAAGCCGTGTCCCAAAATCACCCATCCCAGGGGACCGGACACACGTCAGGGTTTGTCCCTACCTGGTTCAGGGCAACGTGCATCTGGTCCATGAGGTACACATAGAGCTCACTGAGAAATTCCTGGAGCTCCTTCTGGGTCTCAAACGCCGTGGTCTTCTGGTATTTCTCCCTCACAATCTTCACAACCACATACTGTGGAGACACGTGGCAGTTGGATAAGGCAGGTCCCCACCAGCTCCACAATCACACAGAGCCAGAACACACTGATTTTTTCCTGAAGCCCCAACTTATTTCTGAGGAGGAAATCCAGCCCAGCACTGACAGAAGTTAAAAAAAGCAAGCAGGGGTGAATTATTTTCCTACATTCCAGCCCTGGCTCTTCCTGACACACCAGAGCCCCTTTAGGGACAACGTGTGGGAAGACTGGTGCCCTCGGTGCAAGAGGGGGTCTGCAGGCAGAGAGGGGAACTCCTCTTTCTGTGTGTGCAAAGAGCCATCAACTTCTCCTTCCTTAGGCTATGAGCATGGTGCAAAGGGATGTGACCAGCTTTGGAGTCCCCCCTCTTTCACAGGAATGGTTCTCCTGGTGTGTGACCTGGTGCCTGCTTTGGAGGTGCCTGCTTTTTCCCCTCTTTTTAGAGGGAAAACCTGTCCCTCTCCAAGCCCACTGCAACAGTCCTGAGCTGCAGGAAGGGATTCTGGAGCCACACATCACCCTGAGTTACTGCTACGGAGCAGCAGGTCCTCACTGAGAAACTGCCAGGACAAAACAAGTAGGGAAGGGAAAAGCACAACAGACTCTTTACCTTGAGCTGTTCCTTAAAGGCAAAATATTTCCCAGAGTTATTGAGCTCGAAGTTGAGCTGACGCTTCTGTTCCTCCAGGGTTTGGGGGTCTATCACTCCCCCCTCAGGCAGCTGCTTCCCAAAGAGCTTCTGGCATTCACTGAGGATGGCAACGGCGATGCTCGTGATGTGGTTGTGATAATCTTCCATGGGCTAGGAAATAAAGAAACAATCAAACTTCACAAGTCACTTAAGCCATCAACCTTGAAATGTATTTTACTTGCCAGAGCCCACGCCTCCCTTAAACTCCACCCGACTGGAGTCTCAATTAGTCTGTCATGCATCCCTTCCCATCCACGCCTGAGGGCTGCGAAAATATCTACGTGTAAATACAAAAGAGCTTCTTCGTAATTAGATACTGCTCTTGCTATGTTTTTCAATCAGAACCCAGTATTTCAGTCATCGTCCTCTCTTCTACAGCAGTATAATTGGCTGTAAGTAAAATATATCTCATTTGCTGGGAGCCTTGTAAACCCACAGGCCAGCCCTCTTGAGTAGGCTCTAATCTCCATCATCTCGGTGGCAGGAGCTTCCACGCGCCGCGATAATCAAAATGTATCACCCTGTGCACTCCAGACAGCCCAGCATAAATCAGTTCTGGGGTCAGTTATTGAAGTGCTGCTTCTCCCCCCACCGTTGCTTTGAATTTCCCATCGGGCAGGGGCCATCTGAGGACATTCTCCTCTGAGGGCTGCGCTGTCCCCACGGAAGATGAGCCAGCGCTCCCAGACCGTTTTCTGAGGACACAAAAGTCCTCAAAAATTCTGGGTGACCTGAGGGTGGTTGGGGCTGATTCATGTTTGTCTGGGTTGGATGAAGCATCTCTGTCCTTCGTATGGGCTGCCAACATGACAGATGTAGCCCTGGAACGACTTCCCAAGGCGTGCTATGAGGAAGGTAACACATCCAGAAGTTTTATTTTCTGTGCATTTCCCATTCAAACCTCATCTACATGTTGCTGCCGGGCTCAGACTGAGGATGAAGATTCTCCTGTGCGAGAGAGGGATGAGGGCAGGATGAGGTGGCAGAGTGGTGGCAAGGCCACAGGCTTTTGGACGTACCTTTTTGGCTCCTTCTGTCCGGGGAGGCAGCGGAGGGCGAGGAGGAATCATCTGCTTGACCCTGTCAACGAGAGGACAGAGAAGATCAGCCAGACACCTCACCAGCAGCCTTGGCTTGTCTCGGGTGCAGGCAGCCTGGAGTGAGAGGGTTTTGGCTTGTCACCATATCCCCGAGACACTTCACAGGGACCTAGACCTGTCTCAGACCAAGAATGACCTCTAAACCTACATTCAGTGCTTGTAGCTCATCATAATGTCTTGAGAGAATCAGCTGCTGCCTCGCTCCCTGAAGAAAATGACACTCCGTGGGGATTAGAGAAGATTTACTGTTACTTTCAAGGGGTTTCACTGACCCATCACACAAAAACTATCGTTAAAGCTCCGCCCAGCAGGTAGGGTTAACATTTGTTATTGCCAGCAATCAGAAACGCTCTCCTAGAGAAGCAGATCTTCTTATCCAGCTGCTCTTCCTTTAACTCACAACCTCCTGGGTATAAGAAAAGTGCCAACCCGAAGACAGCTCTGAAGAATTTTATCACTGTAAACCCCAGGCCACCTGATCCACCAGTTCCTGACATCACACCGTGTGGCTGTGGCACCTAATGCCCTGCGTGCTGGACACCTCACCAACCCTGTCTGGACCACTACCAGAGTGACATTGACCTGGCAAATATTGATCAAAAGCCTTTAGGACTACCATATTTTTTTACTAAGACTTTATTAAAATCCTTGGTGTCAAACCAGCCTACATTCATTGGGATTTTTATCACGATTTCCTGCTTGCTGGTACCAAAGCACCGTTGGTCCTTAGAACACAATCCAGCCCAAGCAAAGGTGTCACCTCCCCATGTCGGGTCCTACAACAAGCAAAGCAAATTGCTTTATCCCTCGCCAAATATGAACCACTCCTGTCACTGTCTGGGCAGCTTTTGGAGTCCCTCACCATCCCACATGGAGGTCTCTAGTGCACTGAGTGGTCTCTGGTTTTGCAGAGACCCATCACTGCTCCTTGGGAAGCCACAAAGCCTGAGCCTGTGGGTGGTGCAGCTCCCTTGCTTGCAGTCCCATCCTCAGAACAGCACCCCTCACCGAAGCTTCTCCTCCACCCATGGCCCAGCTGAAAACCAAACTGCTTCACTTTTCAGACTGGAAAAAGAAAAGGAACAACAACCCGGGGGGGAAGCGAGCGAGCGAGCAAAGAAAGGCAAGCGGAGGCTGGCAGAGGATTTTGGATGGAGCCCAAGAAAGAGAAGCTACGGTTCGCTACTGAGATACAAGTTTACATGGCCCAGCTGAAAACCAAACTGCTTCACTTTTCAGACTGGAAAAAGAAAAGGAACAACAACCCGGGGGGGAAGCGAGCGAGCGAGCAAAGAAAGGCAAGCGGAGGCTGGCAGAGGATTTTGGATGGAGCCCAAGAAAGAGAAGCTACGGTTCGCTACTGAGATACAAGTTTAAAAAGTCCTTCCAGAAAATGAACCTCACTGTTGAGCTCGTCACATCAGCTGGAGCCCTCCAAGAGAGGGCCCTTCCCACAACTCAAGAAAGTTGATTTTTCAGGCCCGACATCTACAGAAAAAGGAGGAACTACCCTGAATTCACGTGAGCTGCAGTGGAGTAGGAAGGGCCAGGAGAAGGTCTGACCTAAGGGGGGATTCACCTTCCTCAACCCGTTCTTCCCAGAAGCCGTCAGGCAGCACAGGAGATGACACACATAATTTCCCTTCAAATATGAAGCTGCTGCTCATATTTGAGAGGGACAAACCGCCTGCACTTGTTATATTTTATTCATTTGCTGCTTTTTCTTCTTTTTTATTCAATAAATTATACATGCTAGGCCTTTTCCAGACCATAACACACCCGGGCTACCACCGGACAGGATGCAACTGCCTCAAGTTAAGCAGAGAGTGAAGCAGCAGAGATGAGAGGGAAGCTCTACATGTTTATTCAATAAATTATACATGCTAGGCCTTTCCCAGACCGTAACGCACCCGGGCTACCACCAGAGAGGAAGCAACTGCCTCAAGTTAAGCAGAGGGTGAAGCAGCAGAGATAAGAGAGAAGCTCTACAGCAGAACGATGTGAAAACTAACCTAGGAGCCAAGAAATGGGTAGAAGATTGCTAGAAAGCTTCTGAAAAGCTAAAAAACCAAAGAAACAGACAGAATGCTATGCGAAGTTCCAGCAGCTCTCCCCATGCTGGTGGCCAGTCCGGACCCAGCAGCTGAGCATCACATGCAAGAGGAAAGCAGATGGGGATTAATGGGAAACAAAGCCTGACCGGGAACACAGACACTGTTGTTGCTGTTCTGGTGTCTCTCTTTTGGAGAGGAACGGCAGGGAGATGCCAGCTCGGATGAAGGCAAGTGTTTTCCCAACACACCAGCTGCCATCTCTTGAGCAGTCTGGCCAAATCCTCCCCCTGATTCCAGTGGGCTTTGGCTCAGGCCTTCAGCTGGTCCTTCCAGAGCACTCCAAGGGGGGGGAGGGCTCAGTGTTTCTATCCTGCAGAAATAAATTGCCAGCCCCAGAGTTCCAGCACGTCTTTATACGCACCGTGTGGTGAGCTCCTCTTGCAATCGCTTCGGTACCAAGGCTTTGTCCAGCTTTATCTCCATCACCAGGAACGTTCCCGCTTCAGCATATTGCTGTGAAGATAAACATTGCTCTCTAAGTGTCCTGCTGTCTAGAGCCATTGCTGGCGTTGATGGAAGACCGAGCCTGTAGCTACAGATCTTCAGCAAACCCTCTCCAAACTGCAGAGATACACCTTGTTTTACAGCCTGCCCTCAGAATGATTTACAGCAGCAGAATTCAGCTCAAGAAACCAGTCTAGGAAAAAGGAGAAACCCCAGATGATCATTCTGCTTGCAAATTCATTCATGGCAGGATGAATATGCATTCAAGATGTTTTGAGGAAGAAGCCAACATGTGAAGGAATATGAATAAAAATATGAAGAATATGAATATGAATAAATCACAGAATTACAGAATCTTCTAGGTTGGAAGGGACCTTAAAGATCATCTTGTCCAACCGTCAACCTAACTGACAAAAATAGACACCCACACAACAAACAAGGAGCATCATCACTAAACCAGACCTCCCAGCACTACATCAACCCGGCTTTTGAACACCTCCAGGGATGGGGCCTCAACCCCCTCCCGGGGCAGCCCATTCCAATGCCTGAGAACCCTTTCAGTGAAAAAAATTTTCCTTGATTATTTACAGAGACCTTCTAGCCCAACGCTGGACCGCTCTCCAGCTGGATGGCACTGGAAGAACTCCAGGACAGCATCTACATAAAACACCCCTTGTCCAACTCACTCAAAGAATTTAATTGCGTGAAAGGTGTGAGACACAGGTGCAGGGATGGTCCAGCAGTCTCTTCTTCTTTTTGAAGATACATAATTACCTGTCCATCAGGGCTGGGGTTTGTGGCATTTTCATTTTCTAGAGAGGCATCTGACAACTGGATTTTGGGCACGCTGGACACCTATTTGAAGAAAAAGAAAAGACGCCTCTTGCTTCAGATTCAATAAACCTCACACCTTCACAAATTCAGGATGGAAATTTGTTCAGGCAGCATGTACTAAAATTTCCAGACAACGAGTATCTCCCAGTTGGCTGAGGAGACACAGCACCAGTCCCTGGTTTCTGTGTGCCCCAACTACTTCTCACAGGGAAACGGAGCAACCACGTTGCAATGTGCCTCTTTAGACCTTACCCTTCTGGTGATTTTCTCTTCCTTATGAGTCTTGCTGGGAAAAGCTTTGGAAAGGGGAGTACTGATTCCTGAGGCCCACGACCCTTCCTCAGTCAGACCCAGCTGCATCCTGAGATCCCGGAAAACGCTGTGCTGACATTTAGTCTGAAAAAAAGAGGGAATGGAGGGGCTCAAGGGAGAAATTAGGCTTCCCCATCACCTTGCCTTAACCTTGAGCATCGCAGAACACTTTGTCAGGGTCCTAAATGCAGACAGAAGCTGTGCAACCTCGTCTTCCTCTCCCAGGAGTTTAGCTGCTGCTGCTCAAGGCCAGCTCTGATACCCCACAGCTGTGAAGCCCAAGGTCAGGGTATGAAATGAGGTGCTGGAGAAAGCTTCAGTGGGGTCTCCATCTTCCCTCGAGAGCTGCATTTTCACTGAGGTCCTGCCCCTTCATTCTTGCCTGAAATATGTGGTGGATAAACTGGAGCCCAGCCCCAAATCCTGACCCACTGGCCTGAATTCCTGGCTTGATTCTGGACTTGCCTACTGATGTGGACTATTAAATGAATCTGGCTACCATCACCAGGGCTGCTCTGCAATTTTTTGGGTGCCCCCACCAGCCCTGCAGTGAATCTCAGCTCCCAGCTCACCTTCTGGTGTGGAGCAGCTTCCCTGCCACATGTCAGTGAGCTGCAAGGAACAGGTTCTTCAGACTGTCTGTTTACACACCCCTTGACCACCCGGAGAGGCGGTTCCCTCTCAGCCATCGCTGTTATATGGGTTGGAAAGAACCGAGGGGATGCAGCTGAGACGATGGCGTGGCTGTACCAAGACTGTCTAGACCAAGGCCAAGGAGCAGCCCAAAGCATCCACAAAACCAGAAAATAAGGATGATAGAGAGATAGGGTGTCACTTGTGACAGATAAATGCGTCAGGACAAGGAGTACTGTGCAGCCAAGAGGCTGTTATTCACGGTGGTGAAGCGGGGACCAGCAAGGAGCTGTGTTCCTAGCTCTGCTTTGCAAAGGCCAGGGTGAGCATGAAGGCAGGGAGAAGAGCTGTAATTCACCCAGCTCCTGTGGCCTGGACAGCAGCTCCACAGGGAACGTGGGCAGGAAAACCCACTTCTACCCTCCTGGAACAAGCTCACGTCTGTTCTGGGAGCACTGTGGGAAAATGGAGATGTAACTGTCACTCTTAGTAACAGAAGGAGGAAAAAAGCAAAGACAAATAAACCTCCATGAGCTACAGCTGAAAGAGCTCCAGTGACAGCTTTTTTTGGTTGTTGCCTGGGGTAACGCCATCCTTTTAGAGCCACTGTTTGCTCTTCCCAGCAACGCAGTTCGTTTGCCCATGTTCCAGACTGGGGAGAGAGGAGGGTTTCTTACAGCTCGCCCTGCTCAGCTGCTGAGAGTGAGATTCAGAGCCTCTCCCAGCCCCCAAACCTACCCAGAAATCCCCCCACCTTCAAGAAGTCCCCATCTAAAAGCTTGTCTCCTTATTTTTCTCCATCACCAGAAGGGCAGGGAAGTTTCAGAGTACCAAGTTCCGAGTACCACCCTGTCCATGCAACCCTGCTCTGGGCAAACACAGCTGCAGAGCTGGAGCTGGGCCTCCAGTCTGATCTGCTCTCACCTTCTCCACCACCTCGTTGTCTTGGTAGGTAAAGACACGAAAAGCGCCTCGGATCCGCTTCACACCGGGGCACAGCAAAGGAGCCACGTTGACATAAGCCACCCCATGGAAGAAAATCTGCTTGTCCTCATCTCCCTGGAAACACAGAGCAAAGGGACAGAGGTAGCGAACGGAGTGTTATTCTCCACAAGGAAACAAGGTCACCGATCCCATTAAGGAGAGGCCACGCAGCAAACTGATGCTTCAGTGGCTCTCCGGCACTGGCACGCAGTCCGGTAGGTAAAGACACGAAAAGCGCCTCGGATCCGCTTCACACCGGGGCACAGCAAAGGAGCCACGTTGACATAAGCCACCCCATGGAAGAAAATCTGCTTGTCCTCATCTCCCTGGAAACACAGAGCAAAGGGACAGAGGTAGCGAACGGAGTGTTATTCTCCACAAGGAAACAAGGTCACCGATCCCATTAAGGAGAGGCCACGCAGCAAACTGATGCTTCAGTGGCTCTCCGGCACTGGCACGCAGTCGAGACAACCTGGAGGAAAACACTGGAGTCATTCCATATGTAAAATATCAATTTTTATCCCAATCCCTGTGGGGCTGCTTTTCTTTCTAGTGCCCACACTGTGCTTGGTCCTCAGGATGGTCTTTTCGAGGCAGAGCTGCAAAATTACCAGCCACGTGGGTAGAAATCCAAGTGACCCTACCAGAGCTGTGCATCTCAGGTTTGACAGGAATCAGGTAGCTAAGGAGGTGTGAGAGTCTGGGCTAGAGGCACAGTGGTGGGGGTAAAGGAGAAGGATCTCCATCAGACCTGCAAAATCCTGGCACCAGTGAGCGCTGAAAGGGTTTTGTCCCAATTTATATGACTTTGCCCCCGAAACAGCTCTCACACAACCAGCCACTGGGAATAGAACTGTTAGCTAAGGGGCTGTTTCTCTGTTAAACAACCCCAGTTTATTGCTAAAGCATAACTTCTTACACCCCGAGAATTTCACTGAATTTCACTGAATTTTAGAGTTGGAAGGGACCATAGAGATCATCTAGTCCAACTCCCCTGCTGAAGCAGGATTGCCTAGAGCTAGAAAGAGAAAGAAGGCATGAATTTCTTCAAGATGCTCCAAAAACTGGCCGAAGATAAGCTCAGTGAATTACCTCAGTTCTCAAAAAGCACCATCTCCCCGACCCCTTTGCACCGAGCTACCACACACTGTCAGCACGAGAGCTGTCTGTTATTCTCCAACGAAAAAAAATATGATCCTTTGTCTATTTAACAGCTCTATAAAGCTGATTAATCCCTTCACAAAGCCTCTAACTCTCTGCCTCTCTTTGCCTGGTTCGAGGCTGGTGTTGGTATTACAAAAGCAGTGAAAGGAAACTGCTCTGGCTGCTCCACGAGGCAGAAGAACCCATCCCTCCCCGCTTTTACCTTGTCAGCTTTGCTGGTTTTCCTCTTGGTGGCTGAGGCCACCGCCATCCTGCAGACCTCCACGGGCCAGTACTGGCACTCAGCAATGCACTTCTGCAGGCTGAACACAGAGGAGGGCACTGAGAAGATGCAGAAAGCAAGCTGGGGAGCCACACCGCCCTCCTTTCTGCCCCAGCAACCCCAAAACATCCTCCCTCCCCCCAAATCTGCCTTGGGTTTGCTTCCACCCAGTCCCACAGCAAACAGTCTCGAGCCACTGGAACACATGTGGTTTAGGGCAGGCTTGGTACATTTTCTTCTCCATCCACCACTGGGGACATTTATGGCACAACCAGCTATAAAACAATTGCGAAAGCGACACACTTAGGTTTTCTCTCTCTCCCCTGGTTACTTCAGAAATGAAGCAAATAAGAAGGAACATGATTATCTCTGGTATAAATCCTGAATTGCACAGAGCAAGCGGACCCTGAGCTCCCATTCAATGCGCCTGGTAACTCTGAAAGCAGCAGGCAGACTGATGAAAGCATTGGGGGGGGAAGAAATTTAAAAATCAAACCAGATAGAAAGGAGTATTTCCACACACGAGGAGTAATTTGGCCGTGAAACTCACAGCTGTGACGCAGCTGGGGCCAAGAACGTGGAGTGAAAGGATTTTAATGTATTGGGAATTCAGGAAAACTTAATTAGCAGCTCAGAGGAGAGCTGTGGGGGCCATCCTACTCCATCTCTCCTCACCGTAACTCTGCTGTCCCTTCCTTCAAACCATGGAGGGAACAGACACCAGCTCATTGCTGGCAGCATGAGAGAGCACTTACAGCCTGGAGACAACAGCTCCAGCCAATTCATCTTCTCCCACCATAGCAGAACTAAGCTGCTGACAGCAATTAAAGGCAATTAGCTGCTGCCTTGCTCCTGTGAACACCTTTAGCCAGCAGACAGCCACAGGAGGAGAGGAAGAGCATGGTTTGACCACGTAAGGGGTCTGAGAGCATCTGCCTGGGCCAGGTCACTCAGCTGAGTGCATTCTAGGGTGGTTTCTCCCCACCTCTCTGGGCTGGAAGGGAGGTTTCTCAGGTCCCTTACGTGACTACTGCAGCAGGATCCAGGTAATAGCGCCTTTCCATGTCCCACACAATTCTCTTTGAGCTTTCTGCTTGGATCCTCAGCTCCCTGTCCTGGGGGAAACAGCATGGGGTCAGAGCCAGGACAGCAACCTCTACAGCCTGCATCATCCCCAAATCACCCTCCAGAATGTCCCTTGGGAGAGAACGGGAGTCAGACAGAGAGGTGTCCAGGTCACCATACCCAGGCCACCTTTGCAGAGCCAGTTAGCAGCCCTCCCTGCAGACACCAGAGCTCATAAATATTAAAATCCTGGCTCACAAGGAGATAATACAACTCCCAGCCCAGCAGCTCAGGAGTAGGTTGCTTACTGGTGACCAGACCTGCCACCTGTACCCTTGGGGACTCTCCTGCAGTGACTGAGCACGTCCACTGTCCCAGGGGAACCATCTCCGTGTCTGGGCAGTGTACAAAGGACCAACCACCCTCCTTCCTCCCCTCTTCCCATAATGAGGCTCTGCAAGTCTTTCTCAGTCTCTTCAGTGAGACCTGCTGGTTCTCTTCCAGCCATGACACTACCAGTCCTTCCTCACCTCTCTTTTGTTGAGCTCTCCATCCTCATCCTCATAGGGACCACCAACAACAAAGTTGTTGGGCATGTTCAGAGCGCCAGGGGCCATGATGTTAGCAAGGGACCATTTTTTGGGCCGGGGTAACGGCTCTTTTCCCCCAGCAAGCTTCAGGACGCCATTCTTGAAGAGTAAGGGGAATCCCTTTTAAGGAGACATGAGAAAGAACAAACTTGCATTTCCAACACGAGCAGGAACAAGTCCCAGCTGCTCCGAGCTGGGTCTAACAAAGCAAAGGAGCAGCGCAGAGGCCTGGCTCGGAAAACACACCCCACCCGCACGCATACAAAGAACGAGGAAAAAATAAATAGCCACAGGATAAAAAAACCTGCCAGTTTTAAATCCAAGTCTTGCCGAGCAGAATTTCGTTTGTGTTACAGAAACACATCATGCCCCAGAGACCCTGAGCACTCTGGGACAAAGGCAAAAGCACAGGAGCTGTGCACCCCATGAGCCTGGATGCTCGTCCCACGGTGCGTGATGTGGGAGAACAACAAGCCAAATGCCTTCTTTCCATGCCTGGACCAATCCTCACCTCCTCAGCTGCTGGTACTTGTAAGCAAGCCATGTAGTTCTGGGAGGGCCCAGCAGGAGTAAATGCTTCGGGGACAGAATAAGCTGCCTCCAGGGTGACGCTCAGGAGGTTCCCATTTGAGAGCTGCGCCGCAGAAAGCAGGGGTTCTTCGGTGCACACTGTCACTTCAAGGCCACCCTGTGAGACAGGGATAAAGCAGAGCCAGTAACTAGACAATTATAACTCTCCTGCTCTTGAGGGAGAAGCAGGCAGAAACCCAAGGCCAGAATGTATAACATTATCTTCTTTTCCTCACCTCAGATGCAAGAGAAAACAGACCGGCCCAGGAAATGAATCTCATGATCAATTTGTCTGAATTGTGATATTTGTTCCTTTAAATCGGAGCCTGCTCGAGGCACGGCATGTGCCCCAGGGGTTTCATGAAACGAGCCAGGGAGAAAAAGTCAGGGTCTCATAAAACAAGCCAGGGAGAAAGAACATCAGGGCTGGAGGATAATGGTTTCCCCCCGGTGATTCAGAGCATGCCAAATCTAGGGCCGCGCTTCGACTCCGCACGCTGTGTGCAGCCTTTAATTACCTGTCCCAAGCCAGGATGGATGGTGTGCAACGAAAAACCAGCTGGTCTGCATTAATTAACTCTCCTCCCTAATGGATGCCCCCCTGCCTTGCTTACTATGTAGCACCTCTTAAACACAGGAAAATTAATGCAATATCCGCCCCTCCAATTCCCTCGCAGTGCTCACTGCAGGCAGGCTCAGGAGCAAAATTAGACGCGTTTCCCCAGTCTCATACTTCACTCCCCACTTTATTCACTGGGTACTTTTCAACGGGCTCAATGAGTAAGAACCTTGCAGGAAAGGCAGCCAGAGCTTGTACAATAATGGACTGCGAGATATTTTATCCACAGCAAGGAAGACTAATAAAGTTGGGCAGGTAATCCCGCCTTTGCCTGTTTTTTTTGGTTTTTTTCCTGACTTTTCAGCACTACGTGTTCCTTCTCCAATTTTTCTTCCCGAGCAGTTTGGTAGCTGCACACATTAGCATTTCCTAGCACGACCTCACCTATCATGGGCGACTGGGGACAGACGTCAATGGGAGTAGGAAAGGCCTCCAAGCTTGTAACATATAGGGCCGTAACACATCCGCGATGAGCGAGGCGGCTGAGTCATGCTCGCCTCCCCATTAAAAAGCAGCAGCGAGCCGAATGAGCGAAGGAACAGTTCCAAATTCCACATACCTTGGCCTCTGGGTGAAGGCTCTCTAATGGAGAAGGAAGCACTGCATACAAAGGAGCCGAGACCTGAAACGAACACTGTCCTGGGAAGAAACAGGAATGAGAACAGCGTAAAGTGAGATCCTCCGTAGAGAAATCATGGCCTAACTCCTCATGCTGAGCGACTGACATCACCCCCTCTTCCCCCAGGCCCAGCTTTCTACAGATGCCATGAAGTTCATTTTGTCTAAAGGAGGTAAATCATAGTCAGGGGTCCATAAGCAAAGATCAACAACTGCCAGGGAGTAAAATGTGGTTATGGAGGCTGTGGAAGTCAACGTTGTACCTTGCAGCAAAGGCAGAAGGTCCACCACAGCTTGACCAAGAGGCACGGTCTTCTCCTTCTGTTTTTTATCCTTTTGCAACACTTCTATGACTGTAACTAGAGAGATAAAGAGAGAGGAGCTGGCAGAGTTTCTCAGATGGCTTCAGAGCAGTGGTTCAGGGGCCGCAAAGGGTCTGTGTCAGCTCTGGCACACGCTTCCTCCTTCATCTCCCAAGGAGAGCAAAGCCAAGGAGCACAGGCCAACATGAAAGGGGATTCTTCCAGCTGGCAGAGAGGGGAAACAGAAGTGCTGAGATTCCCCACCCTCCCCCAGGGCTGCTGCCAAAGTGCTATTCTTGAAGGAGTGACTCCTGCGGGCAGGCAGGGGGGAGCAGCTGACAGCACCCATCTCCTGGAAGGGAGGTTCAGCGCCAGGTACTCACAGAGCACAGGTTTCTGCGCGATGTCGGCCAAGGAGTTGGGCCCATTGGGGTTGCACTCAAAGCTGGTCACGAAATCGTAGCTTGCTGTCCCATCTGGCAGGACGTCAGTCTTGGAGGAGTCTCCCAGGATCACTCCGTTGTACTCCACGCGCACCAAAGTGGCCGACACGTTGCTTTTGATAGTTTTCTGTCAAACAAATGGCACGTTTAGCAGCCGGCTCTGCAGCAACAGGCCCAGGATCAAGGCTGCATCTGGGATGGGGGAGCAGCTGACAGCACCCATCTCCTGGGAGGGAGCTTCAGGTACTCACAGAGCACAGGTTTCTGCGCGATGTCGGCCAAGGAGTTGGGCCCATTGGGGTTGCACTCAAAGCTGGTCACGAAATCGTAGCTTGCTGTCCCGTCTGGCAGGACATCAGTCTTGGAGGAGTCTCCCAGGATCACTCCGTTGTACTCCACGCGCACCAAAGTGGCCGACACGTTGCTTTTGATAGTTTTCTGTCAAAAAAACGGCACGTTTAGCAGCTGGCTCTGCAGCAACAGGCCCAGGATCAAGGCTGCATCTGGGAGGCAGCTCAGTTCAGTGCTGGGACAGAGAAGGCTGGTGGGGCTCTGGCTGCTACACTACAGAAATGGGGAAGAGGAGCAGAGCGTGGTTGTGCTGAGACCTCACCCTTCCCTGTCTTGAGGAGGGAAAGTTCCTGCTCCACCATGCTGTGATGGAAAACAATCTTTAACAATTCTTCACAGAGACAGTGGTCGGGCATTGGAACAGGCTGCCCAGGGAGGCGGTTGAGTCCCCATCCCTGGCTGTGTTTAAGGGCCGTTTAGATGTGGTGTTGGGGGATATGGTGTAGGGGAGAACTTTAGAGTAGGGTAGATGGTTGGACTCGATGATCCCGAGGGTCTCTTCCAGCCTAGATGATTCTGTGATGCCCCAGGGATTATCAAGACCTGCTGCTGGAAGGGGAGACGGAGAGGTCCAGGCTTCACCCCCAGAAAGGCGGTGAAAGACACATCTAAATCAAACCCAAAAATATCCCATTGATATTTTTGTGCTTCCAGGAAGCTTGAGACCTTTGTCGGTGCCTAAGAAGGTAGCTCCTGAGCTGCGTGGCTGAGCTCCATGGGACACTTGTGTGTATCACGTGGCTGGAGGATGCCCAGAAATCAAAGAAGGGCTCCAGCAAGCTCTTTGGAGAGCTCTGGAATTTGTTACACCACCTTCATACCGCTTGCTTTAAGCAGAGAGGAGGAGGTTCAGGCTTAAACATGGGTCAAACAGGAATGGTGGGAGCACAGCACCTCTCAGCTGGGACTGGCGTGCCCGGGCAGCCCTGGCACCTCCACAGCAGCACAAGAAATGCTGAGACAGGCAGTTACCAAAGAGCTTCCCTGCAGGAGAAATACTCCTCTGTCCAGGGAAGAGTGGCCACCGCCCTGAACATGAGGACCGCTGTACCCAAACCCAGCTTTTCTATAGTCTTGAGCCACAGGGATGCCTAATTTCCACGGGCGTCTCCCTCAGCTCCCTCTCGCCGTGCCACTGGGGTAATTAATTCCATATTGGTTCTCACACAAAAAGAGACTTCATTCACTTGGTTTTAATTTTCAGTCCTTCTGACTCTCTCCTTGAGCATATACATTCTATGAATGGCTAAACAGAAGAATCCAATTAACCTTTCTCTGTGCCATTAATTATCCTAGACTCCTCTCTCATCCCGCTCTACATCACCTCTAATTAAGCAGATTCCACCCTTCTTATAGCTGGAAATTTTCTTTTCATATTGTTGTTCTTATTGTTGCACTTTTGTAACCCTCTCTCTGTTTGCCATAGCCCTTTCTAAGATGGAGCAACCAGAACTACAAAGCGACATTCCGGATGCAATCACTCCACCGGTCTATTATTTCCAGCACTGTTTTCCCTCCTCTTACCTTCTACTTCTCACCTAAGATGCTGTTTTTGCTGAATCTATCAGTGAGAGAGATACTAAACTACTACAACAGAAAAACCTCAAAAAAGCAGGCAGGTGCTTTTGGTTTGCTCCCTTTTTTTTTTTTTTTTTTTGTGTGTCTGTTGCTGGAACAGAAGGAGGGATTTGCATTTTTCTGCTTGCAGCAGTAGCTGAGTTTCTCCTCCGCATTCCCTCCTAAATGCCAGTTCCTCTAGAAGAGTTTAAGGACAGCTGGGTGTATCACGCAGCACATGGAAATCAAAGCAGTCATGGTGTGATGGGAACCAGCTCATAGTCCTGCCCTGTAACCGCACTGGAGCCACTGCCTTTTAAAACCAGAGCCACCCTATTGGTTTCAGTATGATTTAAACTGCTGTAGCTGGGATGAAAATCTGACTTTATATCCCAGGCGAGATCTTTCTAGAGGGATTTGTCTCCCTGATACACATTTTCACTGTGTTTGGCTTAAAAAAGCTGCCATTTAGAGACAGAGAAGGCAGAGAGGTACGTTTCAACGCAGCATCTCCGACTGCTGCTGAGGAGGTGTGTTCCCCGAGCTACGAGGATCACAAGCCTTTACTCTGTGCAAACAAGCCCTCAGCGGGGAGGATGAAGCCACAGCCACCTCCAATATTCTCACCACTCCTTACTGTCACCTTAATCGCCTCACACCTGGTCTCCAATGGGATCACAGCACACAGAATTGCCCTGGCTATGTTTAATAAACCAGCTGAGACGCTTTCAGAGGAACTTTACCAGCTCATGCGCCGCCAGGACTGTGATCTGCACTGGTTTCGCTGGTGTGGGTTGTGACTCTTCGGGAAGAGCTGCAGCAGCGGGCAAGGCAGGGACCTCCATGGCTCTGCAGGAAAAAGAAGAAGAGAAACATGAAACTGCTCTGTTCCTCTTCCAGAAACCCCTGCAGGACAGAGCAGCCGTGGCTGCTAGCACTGTAGAATCATCTAGGTTGGGAGGTATCTTTAAGGTCATTGAGTCCACACTGCCAAAACCAGCACTAAACCGTGTCCCTCAGTACCACGTCTGCCCAGCTTTTATATACCCTCAGGGATGGTGACTCCATTATTTCCCTGGGCAGTCAGTGTGTGGCAACCCTTTCAGTGAAGATATTTTTCCTAATATCCATCCTGTACCTCCCCTGGTGCAACTTGAGGCCGTTTCCTCTTGTCCCATGGCCTTTTCCTTGGGAGAAGAGACCAACCCCCCCGGCTACACCCTCCTTTCAGGGAGTTGGAGAGAGCGAGGTCTCCCCTCAGCCTCCTTTTCTCCAGGCTGAACACCCCCAGCTCCCTCAGAAGTTCTCCAGACCCTTCTCCTTGTGCTCCAGACCCCTCACCAAGTCTGTTGCCCTTCTCTGGACCCGCTCAATGTCTTTTTTTGTGGTGAGAGGCCCAAAACTGGACAGAGTCCTCGAGGTGGGGCCTCACCAGTGCCCAGGACAGGGGCACCATCACTGCCTGAGGGATTATTCAGGGCTTAGCTGACAAAATGCCATTGAAAGGCTTTGTCAGTGACAAATCTCTCATGAGGGGAGAGGGAGATGTGAAAATTGTCTGGCTCTGAACCTTTAACCCAGCTCCTCCACGGGCTCGGTGTGACCGGCTGCTCTCGGCAGGGCTGTCCCCAGCGCAGGGAACGGCCCTGGCTGCTCTTTTACTTCTTGTTTCACTTCAACAGGAGCCCACCCGGCTCCTACACACGCCCAGGGGACGGGGCTCCATCCACCACCACAGGTTTGTCCACAGCCCCTCCTCGTGAAACCCCCCTGGGGACACGGCCTGCCTCAGGTCACCCTTGTCGCCCCACCGCTTCCCCCCATCTCCAACCACCCCCGCCGGTCTGCTCCGAGGCCGGTAGCCCCCCTCGACCTCCCGGGGGCCTTCAGGCCTCGGGGTGCAGCCCCTCACCGCGGCGAGGCGGCGAAGGCGGGACGCGAACCCGTGACCTACCTACCTGCCTCAAGGCACGCGTCCCGTAACCACGGCGACATAACCGCTCCCCGCGAGAGCCCCGAGTCTCGCGAGATCCCGGCGCTGTGTCACGTGATGGCGGGCGCGTCCTTGAAGCCGCCGCCGCCATGATGGGTGTGGGCAGCCCTTACCGGGCCTCTTATGGGGAGCCCCCGGGGGTCTCCCCGAACCCACCCACCCGGCTGGGTGTGAGGGGGCTGCAGGGCAGGACATGGCGCCTCTGCAGCCCGGTGTGCCCCTGGGAGGCCCTGCTGCTGCCCCAGCCCCACTCTGAGCCCCCGCGACCCCTCCTGGCATAGACCATGGTGCCCACCCAACCACTCACCCACACCCCACTGAGGGCCTGGAGAGAGAGAGGGGGGGTCCCCCGGGTCGGGGGCCTCAAGGTGGGGGTCTGGTCCCATGGGGAGGGAGCGGAGAGGTGTGGGGCAAGGTCCTGGGGTTGGGGGGCGGCCACCCCTGCTCGCCCCAAGGTGCTATTGGGGGTGGGAGGGGGGCACCTCCATGGCAGGAGGGGTTCTGGGGGGACCCCCAGCGCCACCGGGGGCTTTTGGGGCGGGTGGCAGACCCCCCCGCTCTGGCACGGGTTGGCCCGTTCCCAGACTGGGACCAGAATAGCTCCGCTATCCGATTCCTGCCCGAGGGGCCGTGGCCACTCTCCTTCCTGGGCCACTATCTCCTTGGGGCTGACATTTGAGCCCAGGCCCCCCCCATCACCCGGTTCCCCCCCCCCCC